AATTTGTGGATTTCATCTACACATCTCCATCTAATCTGGCCCCCTCTTTTCTAACTAGGACATCAAGAAAATGCAAACCACTCCTTTTCTAATTTGATGGTGATTTTCGTATTCCCATCGACCCTTTAATCAAATTAAGAAAATTCTCCAGGTTTTCTTTGCCATGTTGCCAAATAGCAAAGTAGTCGTCCATATGGCGAACTATTAATTTAGAAACTTGAAACGCAGGGTGGTGCGCCAAGGACCTATTCGCACAAATCTAAAACAGCATCTTCAAGGCAACCCCCCCACAGCCTCCGGTGGGACCTTCCATTCGCCTCTTTAAACGAAATGAAAAGTACTCCAACATCTATTAAGGGATTCTTCGAAACCAAGTTTTTCTAAATGCAATTTATCTTTGTTTGCTTCCACAGACACTTGCATTTCGCCTATCAGAGAGAGTTATTTGGATTATTTTGCACTGCTTAGGTGCTGTTTTGCTTGTTTTAGATCTTCGGATTTTTCTCTACTCATTAGCATTTACGAATTTAGTCTGATTAATCCAAGTTTCTTCTACCTGAATCGACATAGGGCTTCTTATTTTCACTTATTATACTTAACAGGTGGTGTGCTTTTTGCTCCGGCTCTTCCTGCACACCGCCTTCCTGATGGCCTAATGGCTGGCGCTTACGCCGCTGTCGCTGCCGCAGCGGCAGCTGCTGCCTCCAGTGCGACCGGTGTAGGAGCTGGTGTTGTCGTCAGCTCCCCCTGTTCCTCCTTATCAATGCCTTCATTTTCCTCATCATCAACCACTGCCACTACCTCTTCAATTCATTACCCTCGTATTGGTCTGACTGACCTGGAAGCCGCGGGTTGTTCGAGTCCCACCACTGGGCTTCAAAATGGTTCTTCAAGTGTTTTCTCACAATCTGTCCACCAGCTAGCCACAATACACTCTCCACCTCAACATCCGTTAGGCCAGAGCCTCCGTGTTTCGATTTCTAATTCGGCTTCGTCGATAAACCCAACTTCGAACAACGTGGCCTCCACAATGCAACCCGGATATCATTTGCCATTATCTATGAGACAATCTGGCTATCCCGGTGTCACAGGACGACAGGCATCCACGTTACAAACAGTTCCCATGAGGCATATTAGCTCTCTTTTTCCTAACATAATCTCCGATTTGCATGCCACTGCTGCTTCAGCTTCAAGCCAATTGCACTCAAATTCGGATTTGCTGCACAGATCGATCAGACCTAACTTGCCGGTTAGCTTTTTTTTCTATTTATAAATCCTATCTATCAGTACATACTACTTGGTTTTGCCCGTGTGTCTATCTACAAT